TAACCTTTTCGACATGTTTCCGTGTTGTTGTTGTTGCTCAGCAATGGCATGGACGCGATGTTGTCTGAGGGTGTGGCTAAAGGAGAGCGGGACGGTGGGCGGTGCTCGGGGGGGGCGACTGAAGTCGGTGACTGTGTAGGTCAGACCTCAACTTTTTTTACATAAGTCACAACGGTTCGTGAAAAATCACAGCTACTTTAAGCAGGCTGTGTGCATTTTACTGTGGACTGACTGTTTTGAAACTTATATGGTAGTTACATAGTAGTTACGATTCAGTTACAGGAAATTTCACATGACTGTTTGTGCACAGCAGATGCTTTCCAGATCTTTAACAGACCTCTTGCAGACGTACCTGTGCTATATGGGTTATTATATAGCAGACATACGTCTGCAAGATGTCTGGAAAGCATCTGCTGTGCACAAACGGTCATGTCAGTTTCACATGCATTCTAAATCTTAAAAACATCTTCTAAACGTCTGTTTGACATCTGATAGGAAACGTTCTATAGACAGATGAGCAAACGCTCTAAAAAACACGTCTCGCAGATGTTAATGCAGTGTCAGATAGATGTCTCCATCACGGTGATGATTCCAGGATGTTCTTCTCTCCTGCATTGCTTTAAATGAAATTAAGCTGCACGTCTTTGGATCGCTCCAGACGCCAGAGATACTGTAGAAGAACCGACAGAAGCTCAAGTAGATCGTGGTGCTTCGTAAAGGGAAGATTGATGGCAGGTGGAAGACGGAGCTCTATTCCTAGACGGGAATATTGCTGCTCGATACTGGTTTGCATCAGATCTGACGATGGCTTTAGACACGTGGAAGAGAGAGAGAGAGAGAGAATCTGCAGGAACGCACCGATTCACTCCCATTTGATTCATGACGCACGTCACACACTGAATCACTGAACACAAACGAGAGGCTTTATCACAGCGGCTCTCAACCTTCACTATCCAACACAATATCTGAAGGTGCAGATCCTTCTGCTGTAACGACAAAAATGCTCGTTTTCAGAGTTTTAATTTACAGAAGCTAGGAGTGTCAATATATTAAAATATTTTTTTTAAATAATTTAAAAAATCTATATAAATAAATGTATTAAAATTATATTTAAATTATGAAATAAAATAATTATTAAAAAATGTAATAAATAATTCCATAAATTTCAATAACTGCATGTTCATCATGGTTCAATAATGAATTACATGGTTCTTCCACTTGTTTGTGATAATGGATCAAGGTTTTAAAATAGCTCACAAATGGCAATTTTTAAACGTGTATTCGTCACATAAAAATCCATGAATTATTAAGATTTCATTAATTTCCAAACTTTTAGAATTCCTTCATATATTCAAGTTTTCCAAGACTACGAGAATCATGAAAATAAAAATGATTGTTGTTGAAGAAAAATAAAATGAAAATAAGAACGTCAGTTTTCATCTTGAATTTTGGCCGTTATGGTTTTTTATTAGCTTAAAATGGACATATTTTGCAACACTGACACTGTTATTGAACTGAATTGATCTGAATATTGATACTTTTGTGTTCTAAACAGCTGAGTTATTGTTGAAGTTTGCATCTGTTTGTTTCCGTGAAGCTGCATTGTATTGTATAAAGCGCTATAGAAATAAATGTGACTTATTTCAAAGCTTGTTTTAAGTTGAGAGCCGCTGGTTTGTCATGTCTAAAAAATCTCCCATTAAAACAGAACATGAGATATGAAGGATTGATGGCGGCTCGCGTGTTTGTCTGACGGCGGATTATTAAAGATGCCACACAACCGAACGGACTGTAACTGATCAAACACACAGACGTGACGCACCGCCGCCAGACCAGTATGAGTGTGTGTGTGTGTGTGAGTGTGTGTGTGAGTGTGAGTGTCTGTGTGTGTGTGTGTGTGTGTGTGAGTGTGCGTGTCTGTGTGTGTGTGTGTGTGTGTGTGTGTGTGTGTGTGTGTGTGTGTAGAGAGCACGCATGAATGGCTTTATTTTAGCTTCTGATGGAAATGTAAGCATAACGCCTGAGTAAATTCAAAGGCAATAAGAAGCCCCAAATGAAAACATCACATCCGTCAGAGAGAGATTGACTGGGAAATCTGCTGATCCGTAGGGAATTCCCTGCCAATTCCACAGAGATTAATCCGGTGAGCGCACTAACCCACATCACAATGACCGTGTCAAATTATCACTCAATTTTATTAGACGTCTGGAGCTAATCTGATGACCACAGGCCAGAGGAGAAAATCATGACACACTGACCCAACCCAATATACCAATGAGCAGAAACATTGATTTTCTGTGCAGTGGTGTGTGTGAGTGTGTGTGTGTGTGTGTGTTTTACGAAAGTCTATGGATATGGTAAAAATGGTCTATGGTAAAATCTAGTTCACAATATTACTGTTTTACTGTAATTTTGATCAAATAAATGAAGACTTGGGGAGCATAAGAGACTTCTCAATCAATCAATC